CACCCCTCCTCTCCACCTCATCCAATCAGAGAACTCGTTGCATTCATAGAGAAAATGCAAAAATTCTTTGACTGGTTTCAGTACAGGCGATCTCCGGCGTTCAGGGTGCAGCAGGGTAGCTGCTCGGATTGTGACCTGCAAGCTAGTGGAGAACACTGGAATAGCCATGTCTACTCCAGTGATTTAAATTGCTGCACAATTAAAACCTGTGGCTTTGTGTAACAAACAGACAGGCTTGCACCTGACAGCTTGTTTTTTGGGGTTATTTGGGGCAATTTTTAGGCATTTTGCAGAGGCATCTCTAAAGAGCCCCAAAGGCGCCCCCTTGGCTGCAAAAGGTCGTACTAGATGGTCCCCACAGGTATGGTGTACGCATCCAAGCTTGGCCAATGTAACCATATATAAAATGCCATACCTAAAAATCTTCTTTAAACATTTTTGCACAGAAATAGGGCAGTTTCATATTCCATGTTCAAAACACTGTACATTGCTACTTGCTCTTAAAAGGTATAATGAGAATGGGTGATTCCCAAATGCATTTGCTGCTATGTGATTGGCTGATTAGCAATTTGTGCTACCAAGCAATTGAAACGGTGTACCTAATAAAGTGGCCGGAGAGTGTATATGGCAAGTACTGTGATTCCCTTGGCTGAATCAACCTTAAGTTAGTTACACCACAAGAGCATGAGTGCCATGACGTGCAGAAAATACTGTCCTATTGAGCGGAAGTTGAAATAACATAAGTCCAAGCAGTTTCAGTTTCATACTTTCTGAGTTGATTGTGGCTCTTCAATCATGATGTATAACAAAACTGTCCTGGCAAGTAGAAACATACATCGGTAGTATTTTTTTTTCTCTTCTACTCATCAATCGTATTCTACTTTAAATAGAAGGGGATATAGAAATGTTAGAAAGAGGTAATGAATACTGATGAGCCTTTTGTGCTTATGTTAAAGTTGTGGGCGCAAATTTTAATTATTTCACTTTACCTGTCTTCATTCAATATATGAGTGTACAAAAAATATTGAATTTCAAATGAGCTAAAGGTGCTAAGAACAGCATCAGGTATAGAATAATATGACAGAACAGAGTTCAGAGAGACTTGCACACAGCAAATAGCATACTTTCACTGCTCATTTCCTGTGCTTGTTATTCTTGGCAGCTGGGCGCAATGGTTTTTCATTATGCAAACATGAGGTCTGCCCAAAAACTTGCATGCAAGAAAATTCAAAAGTTTTTGTGTGTTGTCCCTTCCTTTTTATGGTCGTGTAGCTCCTTCCCTCTTAGTAGTAAAGAGTTTTAGTGCTAATCAAACACTTGTTTTCTTCTCGTTTACAGACAACAGCAACCTAGCCATGTGTATGAAATTCTTGGTGCAAACAGGTACTTCAAATAATTTTCTTTCTTACGATATAGATGTTGTAATGTTTATTGCATAACATGGAAACCCAGACTGTAATATAGAAAGTAGACATAGCCTTTCATTGTGAATGTCTCTTGTCATGTGTCTGACCTGCAATCTTGCTTCTTTTAGTTAGTGTCAGATCTCACCACAGAAAACTTCAGCCTATTCACCATCTGTAATTTATGTTTGTAAAATAATCATAGGTTATTACATCTACACAAATATGACAGTGGTAATAAATTATTTAGGAATGAACACATTCCTTGTTTTCTTGAATGGTCATAAACAATTATGGCTTAGGTCTTAAGGAGATTTCCACATGACTGGAGTGTGTTAAACTGAAAGTCTTCAGATGTTCTGAAATACTCTTTATATCATCTGCTAGCCACATCCATATATTTGGAAGAAGATGTCTTCAAAGGAAATACCTTGAACAGTTTACTGTAGGAGTTTAGGACAACTAGACAGTGTCTTCCTAGTATGGATTTCAGGGTTGAGGGGGACTCATACCTCAACCTCATGGCTACAAGATGTACTGTTTGAGTTTAGGGAAATAAATCTTACATACAATTTACTGTAAAAGTACTCAAAGCAAAAAACTAGTCTATTGTATAGGAGAAGCCACTTTAGAGCAATGCATGCAAATTGATGCCATATGAGGTGCTGACCCTGTGGTTCCACAAATGATTAAAAGCATTGTTTTTTATTTTTTCCTGCATGAATTCTATTGAACATTTTAAACTTATATACAGTATATATACAGTCATGGCCGAAATTGTTGGCACCCTTGATATTTCTCCAGGAAATCATGTATTTCTCACGAAACGTATTGCATTAACACATGTTTTGCTATAACACATGTTTATTCCCTTTGTGTGTATGGGACAAAACAAAAAAAGGGAGGAAAGAAAGCAAATTCGACATAATGTCACACAAACCTCCAAAAATGGGCTGGACAAAAGTATTGGCACCTTTCACAACTGCGAGAAAATAAGAATGTTACAAGCATGTGATGCTCCTGTAAACTCACCTGGGGCAAGTAACAGGTGTGGGCAATATAGAAATCACACCTGAAAGCAGATAAAAAGGAGAGACGTTCACTTAACCTTTGCATTGTGTGTCTGTCTGTGCCACACTAAGCATGGACAACAGAAAGAGGAGACGAGAACTGTCTGAGGACCTGATAGAACCAAAATTGTGGCAAAATATCAACAATCTCAAGGTTACAAGTCCATCTCCAGAGAACTAGATTTGCCTTTGTCCACAGTGCGCAACATTATCAAGAAGTTTGCAACCCATGGCACTGTAGCTAATCTCCCTGGTCGTGGACGGATGAGGAAAATTGATGAAAGATTGCAACGCAGAATAGTCCGGGATGGTGGATAAGCAGCCCCAAACATGTTCCAAAGACATTCAAGCTGTCCTGCAGGCTCAGGGAGCATCAGTGTCAGCGCGAACTATCCGTCGACATTTAAATGAAATGAAACGCTATGGCAGGAGACCCAGGAGGACCCCACTGCTGACACAGAGACATAAAAAAAGCAAGACTACAGTTTGCCAAAATGTACTTGAGTAAGCCAAAAGCCTTCTGGGAAAACGTCTTGTGGACAGATGAGACCAAGATAGAGCTTTTCGGTAAAGCACATCATTCTACTGTTTACCGAAAACGGAATGAGGCCTACAAAGAACAAAACACAGTACCTACGGTAAAATATGGTGGAGGTTCAATGATGTTTTGGGGGTTGTTTTGCTGCCTCTGGCACTGGGTGCCTTGACTGTGTGCAAGGCATCATGAAATCTGAGGATTACCAAAGGATTTTGGGTCGCACTGTAGGGCCCAGTGTCAGAAAGCTGGGTTTGCGTCCAAGATCCTGGGTCTTCCAGCAGGACAATGACCCCAAACATACGTCAAAAAGCACTCAGAAATGGATGGCAAAGAAGCGCTGGAGAGTTCTGAAGTGGCCAGCAATGAGCCCAGATCTAAATCCCCAATTGAACACCTGTGGAGAGATCTTAAAATTGCTGTTGGGAAAAGGTGTCCTTCCAATAAGAGAGACCTGGAGCTGTTTGCAAAGGAAGAGTGGTCCAAAATTCCGGGTGAGAGGTGTCAGAAGCTTATTGATGGTTATAGGAAGCGACTGATTTCAGTTATGTTTTCCAAAGGGTGTGCAACCAAATATAAAGTTAAGGGGTGCCAATACTTTTGTCCAGCCCATTTTTTGGGGTTTTGTGTGACATTAATGTCATATTTGCTTTTCTGCCTCTGTTTTATATTTGTTCCAATACATACAAAGGGAATAAACATGTGTATAGCAAAACATGTGTTAATGCAATACCTTTTTTGTGTGAAATACTTGATTTCAGGAAAAATATCAAGGGTGCCAACAAATTTCGGCCATGACTGTATATATCGCTATGTTTAATTACAGTTCAAGAAAACCTGACTTGGTCTAAGGTAGCTTAACTTCCATCAAATTCAAGATTTAGCTATGCTCTTATGGTGCTAAGCTCTACCCCTTCACTCAACTTTGAAATGTCAGAGCTTCAACTGCCCAATGAAGTTACATAGACAGTCATCACAGTTGTGGAGCTCAGCACTAAAAGAGGTGAGGCATAGCACTAAATGTAGTGAGGCTTAGTTTCAACTTTGGCAAGTCAAAGCTCCATGCACATGAATGGCAAACCTGAAACTGCTTAGAAAGACTAAGGGGTTGATTTACTAAATGCAAATATGCTTTTCACTTTTTAAGAGAAGTTGTACCAGGAGTTAAAATTTTCCCCAGATCCTAGTAAATGTGGTAAGTTTCACTGCAAAGAATAAGTATTCACATGCAAGGGAAAAAAAAAACTGCAGTTTTGCCTGCACATGATTTGATGATGGAAATCTGCAAAGCTTCACCTAATTCACTAAGCTCTACGGTTAAATACCTTGCAAAGTACATTTTTCCCTTTAAACTGAGTAGTCAGTTTGCCTTGGTAAATCAACCTCTCAGTTTCAGTGACCCACCTGCCTATGCATTTAGCCTGATATGATTATTAATTATGGGTTGTTCACTTGGTCTGCTATGGTTTTTAATCAAAGGCATGTGAACATAATCGGGGATTACTGAAGCTCACTTTTATTTAAACACTTTCAGATTGCTGATCAGTGAAATAAAATACAATTTTGCACAATTTCACTCATCCCTAGGCTATTGCCTAGGTTGTATAAGATGTTCACGTGTAAGATGCCAAGTTTCATTTATTTTGTTTCTATACTAATACTTTTTTCAGGGCAACATTTAATTTATGCTTTGTTTTGTATGTCTTTTAGGTTCTACAATTGTGATGACTAGATCTGCACTTTAGTCCAAAATTACCCACTGGAGCCTCCATATACTGGTTAATCAGAATCAAAAGCGTGGAAATCTTTTGTCATGCATTACAATTTAATCTAATTTACAAATACTACTACTACATGGAATCTTTCAGTAGCTGACTTGAAGAGATTTTTAGAGAAATGGGAGAAACATTTATTTAAAGAGCAAAGTCACTCAAACTCCATGTGTCTATATAGCATTAAAGTAAGCTAGCACTGAAGACCAAGTGAAGCAAAATGGACTCTGGAGACACCGTGCTAGGGCAAGAATCTACCTCAAAGTGCGGAGAATCTGACATAGTACCAAACAGATGGTGTCAAGAGAATCCAGCTATAGTTACAATGAGTATTTATGATAGTCAAGAAGGAGAAAGACAGCCAAAGGTTAACCCTGAGCATCTCTCAAACCCAGCATCAGTACAATATTTTAGTTCCTTAAAATCAGGAGCACAAAATGAAGCCACACAGCAGATACCAGAAAAGCAATTTACGCAAAAACGTCCTGGTTCTTACACTCATCGGCATTCACTCTCATTTCCACAACATACAGTCCATCAACAGAGGTTGGTGCATAGCACAAAGCCTCACCAGAGTCTGGAAGGACATGCTTACCCTTATAGTCACTTGCCTGTTGCTCCAGAGGATTTATTCCTTCGAATGCATGGACACAGTGCTGCATTCTCCAGAAAAAAGTTTTCAGCACTTGCTTCATTCAGCCAGTATTCACAAAAATCTACTGAGCAATCAGAAGACATCCATAAAAAGGAGCAAAAGCCCAAAAAAACCTGGCAAGTATATATGTCCGTATTGTACACGGGCGTGTGCCAAACCAAGTGTGCTGAAAAAACATATACGCTCTCACACTGGAGAGCGCCCCTATCCCTGTGTACCATGTGGTTTTTCCTTCAAAACAAAAAGCAATTTGTATAAGCACAGGAAGTCACATGCACATGCTATAAAAGCTGGATTAGTTCCTTTTGCCGACTCTGCTGTATCCAAACTAGATTTAGAATCATCTTGTATTGATGTAGAAACAGAAATACATTCTGATGGGGAGCAGAGTACAGACACTGATGAAGAGACATTGTTACTAGTAGAAGACTCAGAAAAACTTAGCCCCATTTCCCAGATTCCATTGGATTTGGCTATCAGAAGTGGAGAACTTTTAGATCCAAGTTTTCACACATCGGAAGAATCTTTAAGTGGCTCAATGAAAGTGCCAATACTGATAATCCCTAAAAGTGGAATTAGCTTATCTAGTGAAAACCCTCATTTTATAACACCTGAATTAATGCACAACCCATCATTAAGTGGAAAAATGAATGAACCACATACCGCTAAACAAAAACTTGCACTAAAGATTACAGAAAAAAAAGGCCATGATTCAGAGAAGTCTTTAAATCTTTTAAGCCCTCACAGTAAAGGAAGCACAGACTCTGGATATTTTTCAAGATCAGAAAGTGCAGATCAGAATATAAGTCCTCCAAATACTAATGCAACTTCCTATGAAGAAATAATTTTTGGCAAGTATTGTAGATTAAGCCCCAGGTCTTCAATGCAAAGTCAGGAATCCAGTATGTCAGTTGGTAACACTAGTGTGATTGAGGAGCACATTTCACAGTACATGTCAAAGAGAGAAGAGCTTTTGGATCAGAGCAAACTGAAGCCTATGAAGTCAAGATTAACTGGCATCCGTGTTTCTGAACTGCAGAAATCACAACTTATTACAGAGTCTCTTGAAAGTGAATCTAAACTGTATCCAGACATCCACCAAGGTCAAACAGCAGTCTTTTTGGAGACTCCCAGTGATGTATCACCACTTATAAGAAGTAACTCAATGCCAACTTCCTCTGGAGTAAGTTTAAGTGTTCCACCATCTATAAGGGGCAGTCACTCATTTGATGAGCGAATGACAGGTTCGGATGATGTGTTCTATCCAGGTACAACAGGCATCCCACATCAAAGACTCCTGAGGAGGCAAGGTGCATTTGAATTGCCACTGGTCTTGGAGGGCCATTCTGATTTTGATACATATGCCAGAATAACTAAAAATGCACCTTCTGGCTACAGCAGAAAAGTTTTACATGAAAAAACTGTTTCCTCAAAAGAGAAGAAAATGCCATCAATGTATGAATATAGTGTCTCAGGAATTCACCCAAAAAGATGGGATGAATATGAAGCCCACAAACAGAGTTATAGAGATGTTCAGTACATAGGTGGAATGAAACCAGGAGGTGAATACTTTATAGATGCAACTGCACCTTTACAATCTCGAGTTGGAACAATGATTGAAAACAGAAAGCGCAGAAAGGAGAAAAGTGTTGGAGATGAGGAAGATATTTCTGCTCCTTCAGATGCAGTGAACAGTTCAGCAGGTAGTCCAGTTATTGTAGACTTTGATACAAAAACACAAGGCCAGGAACCTGGCAGGGTTAGCTTTTCTATTTCAGGGCAAGAGTATGTTTACAGTGGGCCTCAAGATATTGGTCGATTGCATCAACAGATGGGAAGTCCTGTACCTATATTAGATGAGTCTTCTTCAGACACTGATAAAATTATAGATATAACAAGAAAGCCTCCTGGAAATGTTATATCTGTAATTCAACACACTAACTCTTTGAGCAGACCCAACTCTTTTGAAAGGTCTGAATCTACAGAACTACTTGCTACCCAGTCAGCCTGCTCACCATCAGAAACATGTGACAGTGGGAACACAATGTCCTCTATGAGTCCAGATTGGACTCAGGCATCAGATGTCTCAGAATCTCCAGGAAGACCATCTCCATCGCAACACTCACAGCAGTCTTCATATCACATGCCACCCAAATTGGTTCGCCAACATAATATTACAGTGCCAGAGATTCGTGTTACAGAGGAGCCTGATAAACCTGAAAAAGAACCAGAAATTCCCATTAAAGAGCCTGAAAAACCTCCAGAAGAATTTCAGTGGCCTCAAAGAAGTGAAACCCTTTCACAACTCCCTGCAGAGAAACTGCCACCAAAGAAGAAACGTCTTCGGTTGGCAGACATGGAGAACTCCTCTGGAGAATCCAGTTTTGAGTCCACAGGAACGAGTCTGTCCCGTAGTCCAAGTCAGGAGAGCAATTTATCACACAGTTCAAGTTTTTCAATGTCTTTTGACAGGGATGATATAATCAAATCAGCTGTATCAGCTAAACAGGATGAAATTGGAAGGCCTCCAGAGTTTTTAACTGTTCCTCCTGGAGCCTATTCTCTATCTGTACCTGGTCACCACCATCAGAAAGAAATGAGACGCTCCTCTTCTGAACAGATTCCATGTCCTAGCCTTACTGAGATACCTGAAATTCGAAGCAAATCTTTTGACTATGGAAACCTAACTCATGCCTCTGGGCCTGGTGCTATCACTACAACTCTTTCTCCAGCCCGTGAAAGAAAAAAGTGCTTTCTTGTTCGTCAAGCTTCTTTTAGTGGCTTTCCTGAAAATTCCCAGGCAGAGCAAGAACAAACTGGAAGCCAAGAACAATCTGATCCACTGCATAGCAGTCGGAGGTCTTCACAGGTTGCTTGGCAGCTTTCTCCTTCATCTTCTACAAACTCTGATGAGGCTGGAAATGTAGATGTTGGTACTTCTCCACTACCTGCATGTACTTCATCTCCTTATTCTCAGCAATCTGTTTCTAGCTATGATGCGTTAAGAAGTCCTTTAGGACTGCAGTCATCCTATATACCCAAGAGACATTTGCCAGACCAACAACATTCATTTTCACATAATGAGAAAGTTTTATATCCGCCAATTCATAGTACCTTTCAGTTACCTTATTCTTCTATATGCATGGCTCAAGTACCAGCACCACATCCACTTTTGTGGCCATCTTGTATTGATCCTTTGCAAAGACACTTCCAGCACCACTTGCAAAACTTACAAAAAACTTATTTCAAGCCACCAAGCCAATCAGAACTACACTCTTCCTATTATATTGATACTGCCCAAGATCATACTGGATGCAAGCCTTATAATTATTTACATACCATGGAAAAAAGCTGTCAGCCATATTTAGAATCCAGCTCATCGTTATCATCCTCATCCTCATCATCATCATCATCATCCAAAAAGTCTAAACATATTCTTTCAAAACTACAGAGAGATCACAGTGGCGGTTCAAGTGATTCTTCCACTGACCAACAACTTTCTATCTCTCCTAATGCTGGGTCTCTTCAGCCTTTGCCAGGACCCATAGTTCCAGTTAGAATTCAGACACACGTGCCATCCTATGGGAGTGTCATGTACACTAGCATTTCCCAAATCATTGTTACACATTCACAAACTAATAGCTCATCAATAGTTATATGCAAAGTGGATGGAAGCACATCACAGAAGATAATGGCAACAAATGCATCCATGAGAGGTTTGGGATTCAACATAGCCCAAATGTTAGCTCCTTGTGGAGACCTGGAACAGTATCCTATATGGAAAGTGCCACAGACATTACCACTTGACATAGAATCTACAATACCATTATGTTTGGTCTCTACCTCTGACAGTGCATCTACTTTTGGAGGTGGCAAAAGAATGCTTTCTCCTGCTAGTAGTTTAGAACTGTTTATGGAGACAAAGCAGCAAAAGCGTGTTAAAGAAGAAAGAATGTATGGACAAATTGTTAAAGAACTGAGTGCAGTTGAACTTAGTAATTCTGACATAAAGAAAAATTTGTCACGAACCTCAAAACCTCAGTTAGTTAGACAGGGTCGCACCACAGAGCAAAAAGATATTCTTTCTTCTGCCCAGACTCCACCACCATCATTATCAAATTCTCCTCTTAACATTTCATCCAGTACAGAGAAGGAGTTGTCTGAGTCCAAGATCAGTGACACCACTGAAGGACGAATGTCACCTGATGAATTTTATGATGAAGATGCTGCCTCTGATATGAGCTTAAGCCCTCCAAGGACATCCTGTGAAACTCTTGAGGATGAGCCTCTTAAAAACAAAAACTTGGGTGCAGGGTCAAAAGATGGAGCTGCAAGTATACTTATTAAAGATGTATCTGATGTCCAGCAAATACTCCAGTTTCCCAGCTTGCGGACTACTACTACTGTCAGCTGGTGTTTTCTTAAATATGCCAAACCCAGTCATACAGAACAGGAATCACTGTCCTCTGTGTATGCTTCATGGTGCATTAGTTCCTGCAACCCCAACCCTTCAGGGCTTAGCACAAGAACATCTCTAGCACTTCTGAGATCCAAGCAAAAGAATACATTATCAGTTTACACCACGGCTACTATGCATAGATCTGGAGCTGGAAAACTAACTTCTTCAAGAGTATGGAAACTTCAGTTTGCACAGGTAATGCTGCAATTCAGTATTATGATTTGATGATATTATGTTTTTTTAATTTGCTGTATAAGAATACACAACAGAATGATTTTCTAATACTTTAATTACATAGTAATCACTGCATGTTAAACATTTCTAGCACAGCAATCCAATGGTAATTTCAGTTTCTGGAAATTAATTATGGCAATAAACCTGAGGCTGTCTAGTGAAAGACAGCCTCAGGTATATTGCCATAATTAGTTTTTTTACTATTGCACGACCAACATTTATTAGGATTGCCCAGGTAATGTGAAATATAGTGTTTGTGTATTTAACCTTGTATCTAATGAACCATTGTGCATTATCTCATTTAATTTTCACAGTCTAACCCTGGTTAAGGAATAGCCCAACAGTGCCAGATCGTGAAACACAGGCATTTTAAATTTCAACTGTATATTATATTCAGCTTCTTAGGCATAGTACAAAGAACAAATAACATTTTAACTTTGCAGTAGTACTCATCTGCCCTTTTCCCCAGTACCATATACACTTGTAAACTGTGACTTACAGAAGGTTGTGATTTACTAAAAGAGTTTAGAACAAGGATCACTTCAGTTATTCAGTCATGAAAAGAGCAAATCCCTGTTTATTTTTTTGATCTGCACACGATTTAATAACAAGTGAACATTGGGTTGATTTACCAAAGGCAAATAGGATTTCACTTTGCAAGGGAAGTTGCACTTTGCAGGGCAATTTTCAGAGCTTAGTGAATGAGGTGAAACTCTGCTGACTTCCATCATTATCTATAATGAATTTTTTATCATGTAGAATTTCATACAGTTACTACTGATATTCAGGTTGCTGACTTCTGCTATTTACATAATAAAGGGATACTGATCCATTGAAATATAGATGTGCTCCAAATTATGTCCCTGTTGAAGTGTGTACTAAGTTAGTTACCATGCAGTTACAACAATAACAATATCAAAATGTATCTATCTCACAGAACAGCAGTGGTACCAAAAATTCCAGCTTTTTGGGGGAGCTGTTTCATTTGCAAATCTCTGCAATGTCACTTGCAAACATTCTTGAGTATACAGATGTATAAACCAAATCTGTGTTCATATTTTATACATTTCAAAAATAGTGTAGTAGACAGAAGTTTTATAAAATTTGATGAACATTACCTGAAACTAAAGGCTTGCACTCATAAGTGTAAATTAATGTTGCCGTAGAGATAATTGCTTTCCAAGTCAAAGGCATTTATTTTACTCAGGGTCATCACTTTTACCCTTTTAATTGTTTGATACACCTAATATATTCAGGGAGCTTCTGAAGTGCAGTCAGCAAAATTCTAGAAAGTTTTAGTCCTGCTTGCTGGAGCAGTATGCATTTTTTTTCACAATAGGTTTGAGCTCAGCTGTATGATAACTGCATCTAGAGTTCCTAATATACAGTGCATCTTCCTCAATAACTTCAGTTTTAGCTTTCATAACACAACCTGTATGATCTCAAGGAAGTCCCCAATCGCCAAAAATGCATAACAAAGGTTGGAGGGGGATGTGGTTCAAGGAATAAATGCTGTTTGCCTGTTTGTGCCCATGTGAAAAGACAGGTCCAACAACTGAGTGCTACCTTAGTATACACCAGGGGCGGACTGACAACTCATGGTGCCCTCGGGCAATAGGGGATCATGGGGCCCCTGTGTCCTTGCCCAAACTCAAAAAAAGGCTATGAAAAAGGTACCAGGGGCATCTCATGGGGCCCCCTACTGACCCCGGGCCCCTCGGGCAGTGCCCAAGTTTTCCAAATGGTCAGTCCGCCCCTGGTATACACTGTACATCTTTAAATAGCATTTCCTGTTTTAGGATGACCACGTGAAGCCACAGTGAAATGGAATTTGAGATTTTTTTTGGAAAACTAAATAAGAGCTCACTTAACGTTTTCTTAACATTTACATTAAATAAAGTAAAAATGGAGTTTGCTTAGGAAAAGGAGGAATGGATTGGTAAAATCCACCTCCGTGTTTTTAAAGTCATGAGTGGAGATTGCGCTTCTTAACATGATCAGCCATCATCTCCCTTCAACAACATAAGATTATATATTATTATATACAGTTTATATAGGACAGACTCTGCAAATGCAATGTATAGGAACATAAAATAAATAGTAGGCCCCTTTCTTTATGTCATTGCTAAAAAGGTGTCAGTTTTGAGGGACCAATCACTTCAAAGTGAATACGTTGCCACATCAAAGAAATATAGTTGAATAACAAACTGGGATGTGTACATGTGGTCTATTAGAGTAAGGCTTTCGAGGATAGTAGAGGACCAAAACCTAAAAGGTAAGATCGTTTATCAATTGTGAGACTGCATATGTGGTGTATAGCGGGGGGTGTACATGTAAATCCATGTATATTGCTAGAACAAAAAGGCAACTAAAGGTTATAATTATAGAACTTTTGACAGGAATATGGAAGGAAGATTTCCCTAACCCCCAATGGCCATACAATAAAAAAAATGGAAGCGATTAGAGTTATTGGAGTTTAAAGATCAAACATTACACATCAAGAAGGAAACTGTTATAAATTATTGTTGCAAATGGAGGAAACATAGATCTGTAGGTTAGATGCCCTGCTACCTCAAGGTACCTCATGAATAAGGAGGTAAAATTAAACTCCTTTTTATAAAAGATGTATGTCTCCAGGTGTTGTGACAATTTATAATGAATAGTTAGGTGGTTAGAGAAAGAGCAATGTTTTATATGGCAAAATCACTTGGGTGTGAAGAAAGGATGTGTCCATTTTCCTATGTGAAGGTTGAAAACCACTCCTTATGAAGTTGCTGTAAGACAAAAAAATGTTGTTGGTTGATGATGTACCGAGGTGTTTTGCACTGTTTGGCAGTGGGATGAATGGTAATATTTCCTGCATTCATACACTTTGTCAGTGTATGCGCATGTGACCTTATGATACTCTTATGCAAGTGAACCAACATGTGAGTGAAAACTTTAGGAGCAAACGAAATACCAATATATCTGTGGTTAAATGGGAGAATGGGGGGGGGGGTTATAAGGACAGGACCCCTGGAATACAAGAGAGTCTGTTATTGAGGGCAGATGACATACAGTAAATATGAGATAACAGACAACTTGACTGATTTCAATTGTCTTTTATGTGGTAAACCTGATTAAATGAGTAAGGGTGGAGTCACTGTCCTAATGGAACAAATGGTATTCAGCCAATAAGAAAAAAAAACCTATATAAAGGTACATTAACTGCAGCTGAAAGGTTCAATGTAATGATAAAGTGTGTTTGAATGGACCCTAAAGACTTATGAATATTCTATTTATTGCAAGTTGTGGCAGATGTGGAAAAGCTATCTATAAGAGTCCATTGTGAAAATTAGAGTCGTGAATTTTCACCATTTGAGCAACTAGATGAGCGGAGAAAGCATAAATGGTGATGAAATAAATATCAATGATAGACATATATTGGTGGATTCACGGAAATTATACACCCCATAACAATCTCTATTAAAAATGAAAGCCGACAAAGGGATGAACAGATTGCACTTCATTGCCCTCTTGTGGGGTGTAGATACAAACTCAGTATATATATGACACATAAAATATAAGACACATATATATAAGACACTATATGATATCCTGAAAAGGGAAATGTTATTTAAAAATGTACAGTATATACCATAAAGAGGAAGGAGATAGATAAGGTCAAAACCTAGATAGACAATTGGTTTCTAATTATTGTTTTGTTACCCTTTGGTGTTGTCTTGATGTTTGATCTTTGACACTTGTATAGCTTGGGAAGACTATAGCTGAATATTTAAATTCATACCAATATGATAATATAAATAAAGATTTATCATTGTTTGTATGCTTTAGATATGTACTTGTTTACCTACTGACATTTTCTGTTTTTATTAAATGTGGAAGAAAGTACCCACCTATGGTGAGTCTGTATCTGATGGAAGAAAAGAAATATGTGTCATTTATTAAATTCCCCCACTCTCCTGCCATGTTAAGTATGTACCCACCTCCCCATTATAGCAATCTTCACTGTGCAGCCCGTGCCCAGTGTTTATTTCATAGCCTTTCAACCAAAAATGTCCTGGCCAGCTCCTCTTTGTGCACATGTGCTGCTGCTCTTTCTATGGGTGAACCCTAGGATGGCCGAAATAGGTGTAACTCACCTATAGGCAGACATGGCCATACAGTCAAAGTTGCTGGAACAAGGATGAACTTAACTATTTAACACTTAGAGCTTAGGGGAGTTATTAAAGGACAAGTTCACTAAAAGTGAACTTCTTCTTTAAATAAACTTTTGAGGAAAACTGTAAATAAAGCATAACAAAATGAATTGCATTGATTCTTACAACATACTGATACGTTTACTTGTTGATCCCTTATGAGAGCCTGTGAACTGATCATAATGCCTGTTGGTGTTAGTGTGGATTTTCAAATACTACATGGGAGCAGTTCTTTATGATGTATAGACTGATATAATTGGAGATCATAAAACAACCTTATTTTTGTGTCCTAGATGAAACCAGAGCTGCCCCTCCTTGTTAACAGTAAATTTGAAAAGAAGACTGCTGGAAACAGCAAAGAAAGGACAAAAGGAGAAAGTCATGGAGAGAAAGATATTTCAGCTAAACAAACAGAACCAATGCGGATTAAAATATTTGAAGGAGGGTAAGATAACAAGCAATAATTTATATGCAAGTAGAAGTAATAATGCACAATGCAGCAATTTTCATTGTCAGAGAAATCTGGTCATAAATGGTTTTGCTCAGTAGTCCCTGTTATTTTTAACAACAAAGGCAAATTGAATCGCTGCAGTTCTTATAAAGAAAAGTGTCTCTAGTTCAGATTTGATGCGAAGGGATGAAAACAGGAACTCTGGTTTGGAGTATACAGATCTTATGCTCTCTGTAAATATCTAGGAACCCTATGCAATTACATGTGGACAACAATTTATACCGGTTTAGAAGAAGAGCTTTTCTAAAGTTGAACTCCATGTGTCCCCTCCCACCTACCCCATTCATCTGCCTCCTTCCACCCACTGAAGCCCCCTCTGTATTTTCTAAAATGGAACTTTAGTCAGGAATTAAAGTCCTGCTAGATCACTTCATGCTGGCCCTTTTTGCATGTATAGCTATGTAAAACATTAAAAATAAGTGCCTATACTGATTAAAATCCAGTAATGCCATGTCTCACCCTGCTCTGCACATGCTTAGTTGCTTTCTATTTTCAGGCACTGTGCCGAATTTGCAGAGAACAATCTGCTGACAGCTTAAAGATTTAATGCTGCTCAGGGGCTCTGCACTTCAGCAAAATGGCAGCCTGCAGCAAGAAGAAACAGGAGCAATTCTGAAGACAATTTACAGCCCACACTAATTCTGGTAGCATAATTATTAAGGTGGAATGTATGTTTCTTGCTATAAAACATAATTTTTTATCAAGTTGTTATAGTTAAAGTTCCACTTTAAGCCCCTATACATACCTTTTTTTGCTTTGTGTGTTCATGGCAGTCTGGTGACCTTACCGCAGCCTCTTCTTTTCCCGGCGGTGGCAGGGCCGGGAAATTTAATGTAATGTTAGGACAGGTGAGCACCACTCAGTCCTAGAGCACTGTGAGCCCAGCCCATGTGAAGACCCGCCTATACAGGCTGAGCTCATAGGAAACGGGACAATGCTAGAGCGTGGAGAGGGTAGGTAGAAATGTGTATATTTTTTATTAAATGAAAGGAGTGAAAAATAGAACATAAATTCTAGAAGTTCCACTTTATTCCTATGTGAAGAAATGTCACAAGCACACGTGGACCTGTTTGAAGAATCCTTGGTGTGCTGGTGGCATTTCTTCACATTGAGTGTCCATGGTTTTCTGCCTGTGATCACTGCAGCACCCATCTATACCAAACAGCCATTTTCAGGAACGTGTGCTTTGGGATTATTTTGCTTCCATTTAAATCCTATGTACAACAGCATATAACTGGTTGTAAGCCATAGCTGTTCTGCTGTAATTATATGTTCACTTACATTTGCCATGCAAAAGTGTGACTTCTCTTTATTAGGATCTCATAAACAAGTGGTTTGCATATGATAATTTGTGCAGTATGGTGTTTTTTTCTCATGTGGTGTGCTGCAATGCTTCCCATATTTTACTGAACAGTCATATATGTAAACAGCATTTCCCTAATGGGGAACATGGATTCTTCCTTACTCCTATCTTACATCCTAGATTTTAGTACACCAACTTGTTCTGAGCCACAGTCACAATCAATGTATAGCACACTATGGTTTGGTAACCATGTAAACCTTGAACTGTCAACCTTACAATATCCTAAATTTGATTTGTTTTTTTTTTTTTTTTTTTTTTTTTAAATACACTAGTCCAGGTCCTTATAGCATGTTAGTCAAAGAGAAAATAAAATACATTTGAAGAAATAGTTCCTAACCTCTACCCCTTTTGCCCAACCATTACCCAACAGTAATTTCATAGTTGTGGGATGGTTAGGCAGAATTAGTCATGGCCTTCGTTTGAGTCTCCCACACTGATGACAGAATTGTTGCAGTTAAATTGCCGTTATGCATTCATGATGTAATGTCTGGCTGGCAGTTAAAGAAGTGTTCAAGTTCTAGTTATAATTTTCCCCTAGCACACACATGCAAAAACAGTGCTAACCGCCCCTCTCCAAAATGGTTCCAAACCCAGCATTTGGGCTCTTAGGGGCCCTTAGGAAGGTTTTCAGAGATGAACACCAAAAATACCCCACCAAATTATTTGGCAGGTGAATTTGTTCACATAGCATTTGTCTATGTGTTCTGTTTATAACTGTGCCTTTATCTTCTTGCCTAAAATCCAGCTTTAATTCAAGAATCTAAGCTTGAAGGACGTTTATTTTTCCACTATATATATATATATATATATATATATATATATATATATTTTATTTTATTTAATTTTTTTTAAAGAAAGGTTTACGGTACTTTAAGCATGGATTTACGATGTCTGTTGTTATATAGCAAGGTTACTGAGAGGAATGGATAATGCAAAAAATTATTTTTGTGTTTTGATGGTTTGAATTATTGCTACCCGGATTCAAGAAATAAGACGTGACATATTTTTAAACAATTGATATTTTTTTGTTTCGCCCCTTCTACATATGTATTTTTTTTTTTTTTTTTAATTCTGTGTAACCCAAGTGCACAGAGGGCCCAACACTGACTACTCCATGATTTAGGCAGGTAGTAATAGCAAATGTTACTTTATATGTAGATTTCGACCATTTGAAAAGAATCAGTATTCTGTATCCCTAGAGACATTGTTAGAATTAGATTAGACTGATTTAATGGATTTGCTATGGGGCCTTGTTACACATAGTTAGCAAGTATCAAATGCAGTGTTTCCCTGTTATAGTTGTTATACAACTTAATGGTGCAGCAGTTTTCTTGCATTTAATGAGAAACAGATGTTGGTAATGCGCATGTGCATATGTTTACTTTGGTCTTTCACAGTGAGGGTACATAAATGCAGGTGTATTTACATAGGTGCAGATAGATTTTCTGTTTATTATGCTTAGCAAGTACATTACAGTAGACACATTTAACTGTATTTGTTTATCATATCGCAAGCACACCTACTGTCCTGGGTAGAGGTCTACAGATGGTGGAGAAAGAAAGTAGGACAGGTTTTTTCAGTGTTCATCAGATGGTCGTAACAAACAGTAATTTACAGTTTTTTATTTTGTGTGACTGCTTATGCTAATATATCATGACACATATTTAGATAGTCATTGTGATTGTTGGTAGCGTGGTCCTGCAAGTGAAGCTGACTATACAAGTTACCAACAACATGTAGTTAGGCCTACCTGATTAGATACAAATTGAATGGATTGTTTAGGTAGGTCCCTACACCTAAAAGAGATTGAATTGAGAATGTACAACTAGATTGTACATAACTAGCTATAAATGTTATCCTTATTAACCCAGTATATACCCTCAATTGTTTTTGGGTATAGAGAAGTATGCTTCACTTAACTTAATTCTGCATGCTGAGTGCAGCTCACTGCCTAGCTACCCAGGTGCATGTAGAAACCTCAGTGGGTACATATCCTTAAAGTGTTCTTTCATCAAAATTGTATCAAATTTTAACTGAATTTTGTTTCTGCTCAGTTTTCTTCAGTCAAATGTGCATTGTATTCCTTAAGGCTCATTGGGGTTTCTAAAACTGAAGAGTGTAAAATCCGGTGCAGCTCTGCATAGAAAGCAATCAGCTTCCAGGTTTTATTGTCAAGGCTTATTTGAACAAGCTCAGTTGTAGCATGAACAACTGCACCAGATTCTGACTGCTCCAGTTTTAGTAAATCCCCTCCATACTGTTCACTGAACAAAGTGAACATTCATTGAACTGTGTTGATAAGTTAAAACAGCATGCACTCCTGTCTGTCCGGTCCTTTCCTCCCTCTTTGGTATCTCTCCTTCCTCACAACCCCACCCACCATTTTTTTTTATCCCATCTGTGAATTGCTTAAGGCCCTTCCTTGTGAATTCTCCCCCTTTTTTCCCCCCTACCCTTAGAGTTATTTTTCAAAATGTTTTTCATGGTCCCAGGGTTATAGGATCGAACTTGCCTTCTATAATGAAAAAGTTTGATCCGGACTTTGTGTATTTCAGGTTCATTACCATACATCTCCAGTATGAGTGGCATTATTTCAGTTTTTGACATAGACAATTTGTAGCTAAAAAAACAGTGTTCACATTTAACACCCAATTATGTGCAAACAAAAAAACCCAAACTATTTTTGCTTGGATGATTAAAGTGAACACAACTTTACAGTATTGCTAAAGTCAATGAATGTTCACTTTGCAATAAACATATTAATTTTTCTAAGTGTAAAGCCTCTACTAATTTAGTAAACCAAAGCCACTGTGTCTGATATGCTTTAGATACAATCATTAAAAAAAAATAATAGAACGTGACCACAGTGACATGGACCTTGCAGTATCTATGAGAATGAGATGACATATAGTGTTTCTGTACAGTCATAGTATTGATCAATTTAGACTGACACTTGATGTCTCTATGACCATATTCCATGGAACAAATGATTGCTTCACACTGATTTCTTATTTTATCTAATATAATAAAAGTTCTTGATTATTACTTGTAATGAAATTTTGTATTGCAAATATTATCTCCAAAAACTATTTTTAGAGGCCTTGAATGAAGTAAGAGGGATTCCAGCAAGAACATACTACTGTCATGCAAGACATAAACTTTATATAGTGAGATGGCGGCAGTGTGCATGGATTGAGCCTGGGTTAACATATATGCGATGCAGTTTTTTGTGCGATTTTGATGGCTGGATGTGGTGAGATATGTTCAAGTGGTGCAGGTGTGATTTTAATGCTTATTGTTAAAATATATAGGCTGGAAATCACACCCGCACCACACTGAATATCACACAGGACTCTTTTAAAATTGCACTGTGGATGCACTGCATATCTGTGAACGGCCACAGTAGAAAACAATGAATTTTCACGTCATGCAATTGAGTGGGTTCTAAATGCATTCGAAATAGCATATACTGTGAACCAAGGCTGAAGGTCCTGTACTACTGACCTGAAATCCTAGAGATCATGCACAATTTTTATGTGACTGAAGGCCTTTTAGACCCTTTACAAGCAAAAGAATAGAAATGTGACAATTGAAGCCACCAAATCATTAACCAATTCAATACCGTGCAATTTTACACCTTCCTGCCCAGGCCAGTTTTCAGGTTTCAGCGCTCTCACACTTTGAATGACAATTGCATGGTCATACAACACTGTACCCAAACTAAAATGTTATCATTTTCTTCACACAACTAGAGCTTTCTTTTGGTGGTATTTAATCACCACTGGGGTTTTTATTTTTTGCTAAATTAACAAAAAAAGACCAAAAATTTAGAAAAAAAAAAGGTTTTCTTTGTTTCTGTTATAAAAGTTTACAAATAAATAATTGTTCTTCATAAATTTAGGCCGAGATGTATTCTGCTACATGTCTTTGGTGAAAATAACCCAAATTAGGATGTATTTTTTAGTTTGTAGGAAAGTTATAGAGTTTACAAACTATGGGATAGATCTGAATATTGATCAATCCTGAAGTACTGACAGCCAATCTAATTTCTTGAGGTCCAAGAATGTCAGAACAGTACAGATATCCCCCAAATGACCTTTTTTTGCAAAGTAGACAGTCCGACGTACTTCATAAGAGGCATGGCGAGTTTTTTGAAGTTGTATTTTTTTTGTCATAATTTTTCAGAAAATTAAAAAATTAAAAAAATTAGTTTCACAATTTTTTTTTACATATTGTCACCAGTGCAGTACAGCGTCATCATATAACTGTCATGGTGGTGATCAGGGACACTGACTGGTGACAGTATGAAAAAAAAAATTATATATTTTTTTTTTTTTTTTATTATTTTTTCTTACATTTTTTTTATTTTTTTTTAAGATTTTTTTTTCATATTTCACTATGACCAAAGTAGTACAATGTTACCATAGTAACATTGTACTACTTTGGGAAAGTGATCAGTATTTCGTTTTTTTTTGTTTTTTTACATAATTTGCTTATAGCAAAGAATTACTTTGCTATAAGCAAGCATTTACCTGAATGACATCGATTCATTCAGGGTTTTTTTTTTTTGTCCTTAGCTGTGATTTGGCCACAGCTAATCACATGACATGTGCATGTGATTAGCTGTGACCATTCACAGCTAGGCAGTAGTATACAATGGATGGCATGAAGGAAGCCATCCATTGTATACAACTGTCATGTGACCTGCTGTGATTGGTCACAGCAGGTCACATGGTACCGGCAACGGGGCTGATACTCAGATCTGTCATCGGCCATGTCCGAGGTACACGGCCAGTGACAGATCGCGCCGCTCTGCAGGAGCGCAATCTGTGCATGTGCGGGAGGACGCCATATGGCGTCCACCCGGAACGCTGATGACATTTTCCGCCCGCCATTCGGCCATAGGGCGGGCAGCAAATGGTTAAATAGATAATGCATATCACTAAACAGCTGATGCATATTCATGTTATTGTTTCAACAAACAATGTTTCTCTGAATGAATTGTTAACTTCCTTGTATTCAAATGAGCAGGACAGTGCCCATTTGAACACACCACAACCATGGCACTACCTGCATGGAGTTTGCGTGTTTTCCCTTTGCCAGACTGGGTGTCCTCTGGGTACTCTGGCTTCCTTGTACATTCAAGAAACATACTGGTAGGTTAATTAGCTCCTGTCTAAATTGGCCCTAGTATGTCTATTAATGTGAGTTAGGGTCCTTAGGTTGTAAGCTCCTTGAGGACAGGGACTGATGTGAATGTACAATATTTATGTTGTAAAGTGCTGCATAAACTGTTAGCGCTATATAAATCCTGTATAATAATAATATATTTGTAAAGCACTGCATAAACGGACAGCGCTATATAAGTACCGGTAATAAAATAAATTGGGTAATTAAATATTGTGGGTATACCAACTTAATTTTTACATCCCACAGAAGAATGTTTCTACAACAAATTATTGAAGGCATGGTTATATAAAAAATACTTTTAAATATAGCTGTTTTTTATTCTCATAACAAGTAAATGTGATGTGTGAACCACATTTCTAGATGCAGGATGAGGATAAAGTGTAAGAAGACACAAATGAATCATTGTTTGTCATCTTGTTACCAACAGTTTCAAGTCTAATGAAGACTATGTATATGTGAGGGGACGAGGTCGTGGAAAGTACATATGTGAAGAATGTGGTATACGCTGCAAGAAACCAAGCATGCTGAAGAAGCATATCCGCACCCACACAGATGTTCGCCCTTACGTGTGCAAACTGTGCAACTTTGCCTTTAAAACAAAAGGTACCATCTCATTTTCTGGTCTTAAATGTAAAGCTGGTAGAAGTAGCTGAATCAGCTTACAAAAGAAGAGATTGATTGCTCATATATAAATCAAGTTCAGTTAATACAAATTAAATTACCCAGTTATAACATGTTTAATCCATATCTGTCCCCAAGTCTTTAATTGAATGAGGTTAAAGTAGAAGGAGATTAATTCTACCCTGACCACGCTGTTTTATTTCACCTCAAACATTGTCTTCCCTTTAAAAAGGCCATTTGAAACTTTAAGAAGTTTAGAAAGGTCCGCTTAATTGAACAAGCTGAAGTTAGAAATTGATTGGCTACCATGCGCAGTTGCACCAGATTCTGAGTCCTGCAGTATTAGTAAAGTATGCTGTAAATTGTGTTGGTATTCACTTAACTTAAACAAATTAAACATCAACCAAACAGCTAAATACAGACTAGAAATACATATATGACAGTGGTTTTACTTCTCAAAGGATTTGTAATTTTCTCCATTCTATCCTGAAATGTACACTGCCTTGCCAGACATCATAGCAAGGTTCAAGCGTTAGTAAACCGCAAAGAAAAAAAATCTTCTTGCAAGTTAAGAGCATAATGTGCTAGTATGCATACTAGCACATTATGAAAGACATACCTGAAAAGTAAGCCCTACAGCAGAGCGCTATCACGGCTCCCCGAGGCTTCCATTTTCACCCAGTCTTCCTTTCAGGTTCATTAGCTGTAGCCTTTTGATTGGCCGGGCAACGATGTCACCACTCGCATGTGTGAAGGGAGCTTCAGCCACAGCACGACACTGTCAATGGACAGCACGACGTCCATTAAGAGCGTAGTGCGCATGTGTCGGTGACAGCACTTCTACAGTAAATATCTCCTAAACTCTATGCAGAGCCATACAAAGCAGTGTGCATGAGCTGACAGGGGAGAAATCTGTGTTGTTTACACACAGGTCTCTCCCCCATCAGTAATACTCAGAGATTGCCGGGTGCTGGCGGGGAATCACCGGCCGGGACCTGGTGATTGACAGATGAGGCCATGAATGGCAGCGCGGGTAGGGCACGTGCGCACCCCCTACCCGGAACTGCAAAATCACGTATATATATATATACGTGATTTTGCGCACCCATGCTGCCCTGTAGCAGTATTTCTGCTATAGGGTGGTGCGGAAGCAGATAACAAAGTTCGTTACTATTGTTATTTGGAAATTCAGATACATCCGAATCTCCAAATAACCAAAAATTTGTCTGATATTAGATTCGGATTGAAACAAATTGCGCATGTCTAGCACCAGATTTTGCACTCTTAGTAAATCAACCCCTAAGCATATGTTTTTGTTTGGTTCTTTTTTTTTTTTGGGTCTAGGTGAAGAGCTAAGTGGCAGATGGACAATAGTTCAATATTCAGGCTTTTGCTTTTACCAGGTCTTTAAACCTTCAGAAGTGTAGTGTATTTGGAAAAAATAATATTGTAAACTAGGACTGAAACTACATTTTCCCTAGTCAAACAGTGGCAGAACATTTTAAGTGTTCATTCTGTCCATTATCATATAATGACATGAGTTCAGGCTCATGTTGCCCCAGTTCATATATTTGTGGATCACTGATAGAAGTTTTGGAAGTTTGTCAGTCCCTATAGCTTTCCTTCCAGGATGCCTTTGTTTTAAAACACATGGAACACGGGCTGGAAACATGAGATGGTGCATTGTGATGCATTAACTGCCTTTTTTGAGTGAATCACAAGTTGGGGAAATGCACAGTCTCAATGACACCTATTTTGTTTTCAGAGATCTTTCCCAAAGCAGATTTGTACCTAATGTTTGCCACAGTGGCTGTATCATTATAGAACATTAAAAATTCCAGAAATGGGCCAGAGGCATAGTCAATTAATGTAAAAGATGCCATCTAGAGCAAATTAAAGGAATGAACAAAACACTATTTAATAGCTCTTTTCTAAACTTTGTCATCATGTTCAACAATAGAATATTTCTTGCTATGATTCTTCAGTAGTTCAGGGATTTGCATGTGAGACTTCCAGTCTCCTTGTGTAACTCAATTATGATCTGTAGACTGTATAATGCAAACCTGTCTGCAGGGAAGGTGCGGCGCATTCATGACTCTGGCTGACAGATGTTTGTGATGCAATTTTGACAATCACAATATTTGTAACTGTGCTGTTGTGGCCTGCACTATGCACAGAGATGACACAGACATTATGATAGAGAGGTATTCAAGGAAAAGTGTGCTTTTATGGTCCTTTCAGTGGGACAGTTTCAAGTTTATCAATAATGTAAAGGCCCACAGACTCCCTGGTGGCCCACTTCATCCGTAGCTGCATTAATTATTGATGGAGTCCTGATAGCTAGTGTTCACATACATTCATTTGCAGAGAAAACGACTTCCATTTGATGCCACTGGTCCAGGCATGCTTTTATTAATTGAAGCTGGGATTTGCATTGAAGCCCTTGAAATCAATATTGTCTGTAATAGAAATCCTTTATGATGCATGCTTGGCCTTGCATGTAGTCATTTCTTTTTTTTCTAATGCACTTGGCTTTTCCTCTCTACATGAGCACCAAGTAATCATCAAAGTATGTACATCTGTTGAGTGCAAAGGTTCTTCCCTGCGGAGCACACATTGTACACTAACTTATTATTTGTTATTTGTGATTTTTAACACATTAGAGGCATTTCATGTTTTTTTCCCACCTCTGATCTTTTCATTATTCTGCATGCCCATTTCTTGTTAGTTTCTTCATCCATGACATTTGTTTTTCAGTCTTTTAAAAAATCCTTTTTGTACTTTTATTATTATTACACAGGATTTATATAGTGTCAACGGTTTGCTCAGCGCTTTACATTATTGTGGGAGACAATACAGTAACAATACAGTTCAATACAAGGGCCTTGCTCCTTGGAGCTTACAATCTAGGAGGGAGGGGTGAGTGGTACAATAGGTAAAACTGTGGGGGATGAAGTGATTGGAAGCGTAGAGGATACCAGTATTAGCAGAGGGCGGGATAGGCTTCCCTGAAGAGATAGGTTTTCAATGATCGCCTAAAGGTAAGTAGAGTAGGTGATAGATTGGGGTAGGGAGTTTGAGAGTATGGGTGACACCCTGGAGAAGTCTTGGAGACGAGCATGGAAGGAGGAGATAAGGAAGCTAGAGAGTAGGAGGTCTTGCGAGGAGCGGAGTGTACGGTTTGGGTGATATTTAGAGATAAGATCAGATATGTAAATTGGGGCAGTGTTGTGGATGGCTTTATATGTCATTGTTAGTGTTTTGAAATTTATCTGTTGGGCAACTGGGAGCCAGTGGAGGGATTGGCAGAGAGGGGTGGCAGATACAGAATGGTTAGTAAGGTGAATGAGTCTGGCAGCAGCATTCATGAGAGACTGGAGTGGAGATAGCCTGCGATGAGGTAGGCCAATGAGGAGGGAGTTACAATAGTCGAGGCGTGATATGACAAGGGAGTGAATAAGTAGCTTAGTGGTTTCCAGGGTTAGGAACGGTCGTATCTTGGAGATGTTGCGGAGGTGTAGTCTACATGATTTTGTCAGCGATTGGATCTGGGGCTGGAATGACAGATGGGAGTCTAGGATTACACCTAGTACCCTGGCATAGGGGGATGGACTGATGATTGTGTTAGTGATATTTATGGTGAGGTCAGTGGAGGTGGCACGGGCTGGGGGAAATACTAAGAGCTCAGTTTTGGAGAGGTTGAGTTTGAGGAAGTGGAGGAAGGTAGTAGGCTAGTGATGCGAGTGGAGACTGAAGGGGTGAGGTGAGGGGTAGACAGATAGATTTGCATGTCATCAGCATATTGTGAGAGTTGGTCACTTCTTTTCCACACATGGCCAATCTGAACTGTAATAGTGTTGCCTTGGTTGTTGTCCAGGACTTTATTTACTGCAAGGGTAGCCATAGATAGGCAGATCTTTCAGGTGTAATGAGAGATGAGAAATCTGACTGTTGTCAAAATCTCTACACCGTCAGACTCACAGGTAGTTCTAATCTAGCTCAAGTGACTGTGAAATAATGATTTTTTTAACAATAAGTCATTTTCCAACATGCTGAATATACTGTTCAAAAAACTCCATTGCTAACTGTGTAATACTACATTTAAAATGTTTATCTATGTACACAATAAATTATACATATGGTGTCCAGAAATACTATAAAATATATGTATCAATTGCTCCTTTTTAGTTGAAATAGACCAATATACCAAAGGTGATCCACCCAAAAACTTAAGGTCCAATATCCAAAGGATGGGTCCAGAAAGAGTTATAGATGATGATGATGATGAAACATTTAACGTAGAGGGGAAAATCCATACCATTACTTCTTCATATTAGACTTCAAACAATTCCCACAACCTGTGAAAAGTCAAACAGCAACTTACAACTGCTATTAGACTTACAGGGAAAATGGTCCTAAGGGCTGAAGTAGGCTTGCATCTATGCTGCTGTATAAAAAAAATAGCTCTAAGTGACACCATCCCGACTTCACAGGATCCCAGGTCATACCTGTAGCCCTTAGCCTTGGGAAGGTGGATATAGAGAAACAAGCTTATGTAGAGGCAAAGATAACCAGAAAAAAAAATTATCTATAATAAGGTTCTTTACTGAGCAATAAGCATCAAACAAGCAAAAATAAAAACAACAATGTATGCTCAATGCAATTTATCAAAATAGTGCTCTTACAATGTCCACTATATGAATCTTCCCAACATTAACCCAATCCTATTCTTAAAAAACATACAACTCTTACAAAACTCTTACAAATTAAAAGTTAATAACTATTATTGTACTTATCCACAAGAAAGGTAGTATGGCAGAAAAAGGCAAATACAGACCAGGGAATTTAACATCTGTAGTACTAAAATCAATGGAACCGCTCCGAAAAAAAGAAGACTCAATTATCATTTAAACCACATGCTGGACTAAAATCATCATGGCTTTCCTGAGGAGACATCATAGCAGAATAATCTCATTGATATTTTTGACAATATCTCAAATGTTTTGGACCCATTTGGGGCTGTCCTATCTTCTTTTCAGCAAAGTATTTTTCACAGTTCCAAATGTTCAGGGATTTGCATGTGAGATTTTCAAGTCCTGAATAGGTAAACTGTAAGCACACAGTATACTTTTTTTGCCAGCCAAAAGGTACAAACTGTGCAGGCACAGGCAAAATGAGGATCTGTCATTTTGGCAGTCAGGGGAGCAGAATAGATATGTTTTTGACAATCAGAAAAATTACCCAAGGGTGACTTTGTGCCAGCCCGGCAGTCCAGAGGCAGCCCCTCCACCTTAGGTTTTGACCTAAGTTAGCTGTGCAAAAATCCAGCCCTGAGTTGCATACACAGCTGTGCACACTGCAAAGAGGGACTTGCTTTTTGGCAATTATGTGTTGAAGGGTACTTGTCATGAGAGAAATATGTCACCTACCATTGCTGGTGTCTTCTCAAAATGCTAATTGCTTTTGTCCTGCTTATGTTTTGGCTTCAATACTTCAAGTCACAGATCTTGAACAAGTACAGAGATACAAAGTTTTCGCTGACTTTCATTTGCTACTTGCTTAACTTGTGTGCACCGACTGTACGCAAATATGCAGCCTATCAGCAGCTGGGCCTTGACGTGAAGAGGCCGCATATTTGTGTATCCAAAGTAAACACGTGCCATTGCTAGCTATGACACTTCTGGGACCAGAATTAAACCTTTGGCGTCCATGCCTCCCGGCCATTTAAGAGGTTTGTGACACTGGGAGGTGGGACGGGGTTTAGGGTCATGTGAAAGCCGTGATTGGCTCTCACAGAGGTCACATGATTGGAAAGGTCCCCATCGCAAGTATACCAGCTTGGCTAGCATCTTTTTTTGGGCTGATTTATTTTATACTTACAGTACATGTCTCTGAAATATCATGTTTCTGCACCACAAGGGCTGTCTAAAGGGAATGCAGGCATTGTGTGCCGAGGCAGGGTGAGGTTCCCTGCCATTTCTGCCTCTTTTACTATGATTCCTCTGGGTTTTGCTCTACAGTATCAGCACCCTCTAAACTTAACCTTATAGTATTCATTTTGAATATTTGCTAAGTTCATTTGATATTAAATAATGACATGTTTTTATTAAATTCTCACACATATTTTCTAAAACTGTTCTTATTACATCAACTATAAAATGAAATGAATATAATCCAGATATTATTTGGGCAACTATTTGGATTCAGAATTATATGGCTGACCTGGAAATACTTTTTTTTCTTTTTTCTGCTGCTAGCTGAAGCCTTATTTCTTGTCTCGTTATAGGAAATTTGACAAAACATATGAAGTCGAAGGCCCACATGAAGAAGTGCCTGGAGCTTGGAGTAGCAATGACATCTGTAGATGATGCAGAAACAGAAGAGTCAGGTACGTCACCAGTTAATTTTGGTTCCTGGGTGTCTGTGTAAGAAGATAAATCGCCCACACTACTGCCTAGCATCGAAGGATAAATTTAGACAGCAAATCTGTGCGCCTGTGTGCTTATTAATTCAAAAGGATGCCAGCACTTGAAAACGTGTTCTAATAACAGAGCTGAGACTTCAATGATGAGAAATGTCTCTAATATGTCATAAATGTCTTATTATATTTGCTGGGAGATGGAATCTACAGACGTGCTCCCTAAAGTAAACCTGTCTTGGGAGAAACAAAGAGGTTGCTATTGCCGACTTCCTTCTGAAAAATGTTAGTTGTCTGGCTACCATGCTAACCCTCTCACTTCAGCTGTTTGAGTCACTGACAATTATGCAGAACACAAAAGTCAGAGTAAAGTCAGAACTCATGACCTGCATAGCTGAGTCAACGATTCATAGCTAGAGCTTTGGCATGATAACCTGACAATCATTTATTTCTAAAGCAGAGGTCACCAAGGGCAAACTGTCATAACTGCCTTATTTTAGGACCCTCATCTACCTGCTTCAATGTTGTTATTATTAGTGAATCACAGACCTAGCAGGTTGGCAGCCAATGTAATTTGATCTTCAAATCCTCATACTTAAACAATTGAGTACTGTCCGTAATACTTTTTTTTTCAGGACAAGCTTTTGGGTTGTACCCATTTCTTCTAGGTCCAAGCAGTACTGAGCACTGTTTGGACCTTGAAGAAGGGGGTACATTCCGAAAGCATGTCCTGAAAAATTGTATGTTAGTGCAAATAAAAATGTATCACGGACAGTAGTACTCAATTGTTTCTGTCACCAGTGCACTAATACGGCTACTACCACCTCAAGCAAACCTGCATACTTCAAAAAAATTCACTAATTAGAGGATACTGATGGTAGACTGGAAACTTTTCAGCTGGTAAAAAAAGTCAACAAAAAGCAAGGTGTAAAAAATTTTTTTCTTTCTGTACTCTTGAAAAAAATTGCAGCACATGCCAAATAAAGAGCACCAAACATAGCAGTCATGTAGATAAGCTATAGTACAAATTAAGTTGCAGTGGTTAGAAGGATCAAGATAATCCAGGGAATACTTCCAAGGGTTTGTAGTTGGAAGAATGCAAGAAAGTATGTGAATGTTTAATACATACATCCATATAATGAATGGATTTTTATAGTACCCTTGTTAAAACAGAAATGTATAGTTATTTACTTTTATTAGCTGCACTGATTTGGACTGTAGAACTGGAAGGCACAATAGTTTATTAAAAGGAAATGCACACAAGCATTTTCATATGAGGCAGCCAGCCGGCATGCTTCTTCTGTGGGTTTGCATAAGCTCACAGACTTTCATGCATCCAGCATTTGCTTAACTGATCTGCTAAAGGGAACTTTTGATTTTTAATACATACATTGTGGCCCCTGTTTGCAGTATGCACTGAATATCTAAATAATGCTGTTTTTGTGCCTTATGAGCAGCTGAACTATGTCATATGTTATCATTCTGCCTTAAAAAATATTACAAAAAAATGATGTGACAGGCAGCATGATTACTCACTACGGTACAAAAGGTGCATATGCCTAACAAAAGAGCAACTCCTAAAAACCTTTATGTCATGTTAGCAAATATGGCAGCTTAAGTATGGGTATTTGTCATTGCAACATGCATTCGCTAGCAGAAATGTATGAAATGGTGTATGTGCTTGACATGGTGAAAGTGTTATATACACATATGTGTGATACAACAACAAAGCATTCTATGTTTTAGAATATTTACATAATGTAAGATGTCAATGATGTCATAGGTAGTACATTAATAGTTTTCTCAATGCATAGATTAGTCTATTTATCGACTGCAGTGATAGTAGGTAGTGCCAAGAGAGCCAGAAATGGCAAGCTTGAATTGATATTGCATTTTAATATACAGTGCATCAATACTCAATGTAGAATTAACATCAAAGAATTTTGTCTGAGTAGGTTTTTGGAGGGGGATGGTAGAGGAGGGGAGGGAGTTAGTGGGGAGGGGAAGAGAAACGGGTGTAAAAGGGGGAGAGGTAAAGGAGAAAGGAGGGTAGGGCAGATAAATCAAGGAAAAGTATAATGGAGAGGGAAAAAAGGGTGGAGGGGATAGAGGTGGAAGGAGAGAACCAGTAATTGTTAAGTAAATAACAGTAGATATAAAACGAGCAGAAGATGAGGACATAGTGATCAGTATGCCTATTTGAGAAATCAGTACAAATAAATCAGGTTCGGAAGTTAGGGTATTCAGCCAGGTGGACCATGAAATAAGGAATTTCTTATATGATTGAATTTTTTTTAAATGTAACATTGAACATTGGTAATTCAGGTCTTTGATAGTGTTAAGGTAGCTTGGTTGTTGAGTTGTGTTCTATATTCTAGCAATGTTCAGTTTAGCAGCTTGTTATTACAATATCTCAGGATGCCTGAGGGAGAGAGACAGTAACACAGATGTAATAGAGTTAGGGCCAGGTAAAACTGTGTATTGTTGCCAATGATCTCAGAGATCAGGGAGAAAATTGTATTCCAAACTATATGGTATCTTCACCACTTCTCCACATTCCCTCCAGCATTTGGAGGACCAAGAGGGTAAAATCTGGAAATTCTGTAGGGGGTGAGATACCAGCTATGTATTATTTTTGGCAATGCTTCCTATTGGTTATTGCATTGGGATGCTTTACATGTTATCCCTAGCTTCCAAGCATTTGATATTCAATACTTAGCTCATATTCCCATTTAGCCATTGTAGTAGTTTTTGAAAATATACTGGTCATGTTGAAAATGCGGTAAAAAAGCAAGAGATTCTTTTCTTTTGGGGTTTTTGGTTGGAGAAAACTTTTGCTTTTTTTAAACGTTTCTTTCTCAATTATATCAGTATGTACTTCATGTTGAACTGTTCCTGTCTGAAATGAGAATCCAGGATAGATAATAAATGTAAGATAGCTAAAACATTAGAGAAAATGCAATTTTTTATTTTAGGTACACTACTAAGCCAATCTACATTTAAACACAGGAGCATATTCTGCTTAGCAAAGTATATTTATTAGTAAACAATATGTATGTTATTATAAAAGTTTGCATTTCCACATTCATTATGGGTACATCGTAAATTATGTGAAATTTAATATCACCCATAAGCTCTTTAGTAAATCAGGCCCAATGTGTGAGAGCTTATAACTTGGAAACAGAGCTTTTACCCAATCATTGTACTCTGTTGGCTAAAAAAAGCGCAAACGGGTGGCGCAAACACCTAGTGCATTATCCAAGAATTATTGACAAATTAAAAAGACAAAAAAACTACTCACAGACATAGCATGTATGTAAAGCTTTGTGTAATAGAGATGGCTGCAACAAAGGGCAGGGTGTTTACGACTATCAGTGTGGTCAGCTTGGTGACGCGTTTCGGGGACAAATCCCTTTCCTCAGAGCTACTCCCAATCATTGTACTCTGTTGGCTCTTTATGTCACTCTTATCTTGTCTTGTACAGCTACCCCTACCCTACAAAACATTCAATAAATTGAGTTTTGGATCAGCTAGAGCCAAAATACCAGTAAAATTGGTATCTAATTATTCATACTACAAAAACAAATATACAGTGACTGCATTCACAGACAGATAAATACAGCAACTCTACCCGTTCACTAGCTATGCTTCTTCATCCTACACATCATCAATTTTATGAATATTAGATTGTTTTAGACTTTATCGGATTGAGAAACTTTGGGTCACCTTTACAATTGTGACATGTACTTAACACAATAATATAACCTAATGTTTATAAAAGTCTGAGATTATCTTTCAAATTACAACTAGTTTATAAAAGCAAGCCAAGTAAAATAATGAGTGTAATTTTCTTTTACACACCACACTTAACTAGGTAGCACAGTGATATATTTTATAGGTCCTCATCATGTGACTGTGTTTCACCCTGTAAATGCGGCATGCAGCTAAGCTCAACTTGATATGCTTCTTCTGGTGCTTTGAATTAATAGGACTCATTCTTTAAACAATGTCATTGCAAACAAAGGGAAGTTATCTTGTTTGCTCATGTAGCCTGTTTGACAGAACAAGATTCAGAATGGAAACAAAGAGCCATCACAGTTGCTCTCCTATTTAAAGGAATATAACATGTAGTTTTTTTCTTATCATTTTGTGTCAATGCACAATGAAGTATGAATTACATACATGCTGTTCGTTGTACTTTCACCTAAACTGACCAGCGATGCAGTTAATATTTTGGTTATGTCATTGTTACAAAGTAAGCTTTAATTCATAAAGCAGCAGATACCATGGATCATTTCTTGTTTTGAGAGCATAATTGCTGTCTTTAAATTAGAGTCTTTTAAGTTTTCTTCTCCTGTAAAATGTATTTCAAATTCCATTTTGCTAAAGGATGACCATACAGATAGATTAAGGAATCCATACAATTTGTAGTTGTTATGGGCACAATATATTTTTAAGCTTTAGTATATTTTCAGTATATTTACAGTATATTTTTAGGCTCTTATGAATATACATTGCAAGCATGTATAACAGCTTTCATTTTAGTTTCGATTTTAAAAGAATAGCTGTGGCAATGTGATGTTTTTTCGATGCATTACTGCCTCAATACCTGGATGGATTGTCATCATGAGGGACCTTTGCATTCTGCTCTGTATCAGAAAATCCCGAAAGAGAAAGTACAGTATCAAAAACTACTTCTTATAGATGGCGCCAGTGGACACATATAGGGTGCTAACCCCAAAAGAAAGGAAAAAAGGGGGGAAGCAGCTGTTTTCTCTCTGGAAACCCAAAGCAATATAACTGAATAAAAGGAATTAAACAGTGCTCCCTAACACCCTGATAGTATACTTTTCTCAATATACCAAGCCTTCCTTTTATTCAGAATATTCAGTATACCCAATCCTTCGTAAGCCAAAGGGGTTGATTTACTAAAACTAGAGCTTGAAAAATTTGGTGCATCTTCATGGTAGCCAGTCAGTTTCTAACTTCAGCTTGTTCAATTAAGCTTTGACAAAAAAAACCTGAAAGCTGATTGGTTTCTATGCAGAGCTGCACCAGATTTTGCACTCTTCAGTTTTAGTAAATCAACCCCAAAGTGTAGTGATATGCAGCAAGAAAAATAAATGCTTAAAATAAGCAAACTTTTTTGACTGGCCTAGTCCATACCAAGATCGTAACCCAGTAGAAATACTGTATATTTACCTGAAGCAAGAAGTCCAAGCTCCACATCCAGTCAACATTTCTGTATTGAAGCAATTGTTCAAAGCAGAGTAGCCTGAAATTCTTCCACAGCATTGTGAAAGATGGTGAATTAGAGGAATTATGTAGTTACAACTTGCATTTGTTGCATCTAAAGGTGGTGCAAAAGAATATCTAATGTAAAAGGTAGTTGTTTTTTTCACATAGTGGTGGTTGGACTTTAAAATTGTATTAATTCAGGAAATTATTTAGAAAGGTTCTGTCACTGGGTGGGAGAGGGAGGCAAACTGATGCATTTGTAAATTACAGGCACTTGACATAACCATAGCAGCCTCCCAGAACTTTATGTCGCAGGTGAATGCTAGTATTTTGACAAGCAAAGCACTGACATTTCCAGGTAGTATTGGTGCTTGCCCTGTATATGCACTTCATACCTGCAGCAGTTTCCCCACACTGACAGAATCTCTTTAAATATGCATAAGGGTGCTATTTATCTAATTTGAGATTTTGGCTGTATTAATCAAAATTCATGTTTAATGCATATTATACTGATGAATAGGGTTAAATGACATTTTAACAGCCAGCACACCTAAAACTGAAAATGTCTTTTTATTTCAGGAAGCATTGAAGAAATGCACAAAGAAACAGACAAGAGCAGCATAGCTATTGATCACCAGTTTTCTGATGCCGAGGAAACAGATGGTGAAGATGGAGATGACAATGAAGATGAAGATGATGAGGAGGAAGAATTTGATGACAACCAGGGAGATGTAACACCAAAAAGCAGGTCGAGGAGTACTAGCCCTCAGCCTCCCAGATTTTCAACGCTCTCTGTAACTGCTTCATCATCATCCCACAGGGCATCACCTGAAGGTTCTATGGGGCACTCTCCCCTAATGAGCTACTTGCCCACCATGCCAAGTATACAAGTTACACATCTCATGAACACAAGCACTATGGGTGGGGACTCACAGATGGTGGACTACCAAAAGCTTTTCCTTACAAGCCGAGATCACGATCGGGAAAAAATGGATATGCCTGGTAGCATGGATGAAGACTATATGCTTACTTCAGAGCCCAGTTCATCTCCTAGAGACTTCACATCTTGTAGCCGTTATTCCTCCCCAGGATACGATTCTTCTCCCTGCAGAGATAATTCACCAAAGAGGTACCTTTCACTGAGGGGAGATTTATCTCCAAGAAGGCACTTATCACCACGTAGAGATGCTTCTCCCATGAGACATCTGTCACCCAGGAAAGACACTGCACTAAGGAGAGAGCTGTCACCTCGAAGGGATGTATCACCAAGACGACATCTTTCACCATTACGGCCAATGTCCCCCGGGAAAGATATATCCACTGGAAGAGACCTTTCCCCACGGAGAGAGAGAAGATATATGGCCTCGTTTAGAGCACTTTCCCCAAGAAGACGTTTACACCATAATCCAAGTTTGCCAATGAGTCATTATTTGCACTCAGAGTCCGGATTACTTGGCCATGGAGTAAGTTTAATTTTTGTTATTTTATTATTTAAATAATTTCCTATTCATGCAGTTGTTTTTGAATGCTAATTAAGAAAAGCTATTTTTAAGCATTTACAGAAATGAAATATTCTGTATTTAAAGGATTACCTGTGCCGATTATATTATAAATAGAATACACATATGATACTTCTGAATATCTTCACTCTACAACCTTTCTATTTCTATGCAACCTTAAATCTTTCCAGTTGATCACTACACCCTAAGTGCATGACTGGCCTGAACGTCATGCATTTCATTGTACAGCCTGTCAACATTTTGATGGGCTGCAGACAGGGTAACCTATTGTAGTTTAGGCCAGGCATGTGTGGCTGCACATTGTCCTACTGGAATGGTTTAAGGAAAGGCTGTGCAGCACTGGGCAAGCCATACAGTGTAGATCTCTTGTGGGAAAAAATGCACTGGTAAGTAAAAAAAGGAAAAAAGGAAAAACCTGTGTTACACCCAAAAAAATTAATATGCAAAATTAATGACAATGAATAAATAAGGGAATAAATATAGTGAACTGCTGCTACTCATTTCTTGAACACCAGAAAACTACAAAACATATATAAAATGAGTGCACTGTACACTAAATGACCAAATGCAATAACAAAACACAGTATATCCACAAAATAATAATATGACAAAAAATATATTGCTAAAGTGCTATAAAAAGTCCAAATTCATATAGTGAATAACTAAAAAAAGTCCCAAATCCAGTGACACAGTGCTGTGTGCTGAAAAATCTTCCAGCAAAAGTGTATAGGTGTCCACAAGTGCTTGTCACAACAGAAAAATCAGCCTCTTATCAGGACATTGAGCTCCAGTCAAGACATGAAACACTGGACACCCATGTTAGCAGTATCAAGGAGATGAATGATCAACTGCAGGTTCACCTCCACGGACTCATCACACCAAATAGCTCTCCACACCATGTAAGAAAAGGTTTAAAACAGAAAAAGAAAACTTCATAGTGCAACCTGATAAACTAACAAAAGATTTATTAAAGTATTGCACTTACATAGATAAAGTGCATTAAGGCAGTGTACAAATTTAAAATTCCCGTGGTGTCAGACCACTGGCCAGAACGTGCAAACATCACAGAAAGCTCCCCCGACGCGTTTCTCCAAAAATGGCGTCTTCTGGGATTCGATTCCAATCCCAGAGGACTTTTTTATTTATTCACTATATGAATTTGGATTTTTTTATAGCACTTTTGCAATAAGTAAAGAAAGTAAAAGAAACTATAGCAAGTCTTCAGTAAGTTGCTCTGGGTATCTTTGCTAAAGGATGGTACTTACAGTAGCTTGTGATTACTCTTCTTGAATTGTCATGATAAAAAAGGCATATATTGTACTCCAAATTCAGCCAAAATGTTTTTGGTGTTAGATGTACTTACCAAGTCATTACTCTGGGGCCACTATTAGGATGTGTTTTAAGGATTCTGGAACAAATACCCTTTTAGGGCAACTTTTGTAACAGTTTAAAAAACTGATCAGGAACTTTTTTGTTAGCAGTTTACTAGTTTATTTTCTTGGCCCTTCTACATAGCAGTGTATGTCCCCCATTCATTACATAATTCTGCCACAATCTTAAGCAATGCAAATTGACCATATGAAGAAACAAATGATAAGCATGAAGTATTACTTTCCTCATTTAGATAATTCCGTTCCAAACTTGAGCAATACAAATTGACCATATGTTGAAACAAATGATAAGCATGAAAAACTACCTTCTTTGAATACTTCACATCAAAAAGTAGACTAGTACATTCTGAACAGTTGAACTGATGTAAAAATCTTTATTTTTTCCATATGAGTTGATTTGTACCCACCTCCATCCCCACTGGTCATCATAATAAAGTGTCACTGGGGAAGCGCCAAAAATAACAGGGGTGTAGTCCATTACACGTTTTACTAGAAGAGTCAAGATTTGCAGATATCATTTACCTCTATCTTTTGACCAACTGATTGTTTCCTGTAAACAGCAAATTTGACCTCTAGTTATGGATTTTTAAATCATTGTCTCTATATGAATTGCAGAGGTTTGTGGCAGGTTTAGTTTGGCTTGAAGTCAGACTTTGAACTACCTAAAAATCTTTTAAAATTTAATTTGGCATATAACTATTACAGGGAGCAGTTGAGTGGGGTATATGTTGCTACCCATAGATTTTAAAATGATTGTCTTATCCATCCAAAATTGGCAGGATGGGCTGATGACCATCCCAAGTCTAGATGCTGGCCCTGTTAATTGGAAGGTAATCATGCTGGTATGATTGTACCAATAATAGTTATTTTTTTCTAAATTCTTTTTTAAGTAACATACCCACTTTAAATGTTTATGTACTGTATATGAAAGAGGTAGGTTGAGAGGGGAAAAATGAACAGTTGGCTAAAAAACTAATTCTGGCTGGTTGTAGGTATAGAACTGGCAGCCAGGTGTGTAGACCCACAGACATTGTAACCCAACTGATCTGGCTGGAATCAACTGGGGTATAATGGCTCCTTAAGGCTAGGTACAAACCGATGCAGGTTGTGCTAGACCCGTTTCTGCATTGCGTTTTCGCACCTGCGTTTTTGATGCATTTTGCGTTTTTTTTTTTCTTTTTTTTTTCTTTTTCTTGCTGCTAGGCAGATTTAAAATGCAAAACTCATCAAAAACATGGCAAAAATACTTTTCTTCGGTGTTTCCATTGAAGTATATAGAACCAAAAATCCAACTTTTTGCATTCAAAAAAGTTCCTAACCCTTTATAAAAAATGCACGGGGTGAAAACGCGGATATGTGAACATGTCCCTTGGGAAATCATGTTAAATGGACTGTACTGCGTTTCTGCAAAACAGTGCGGAAAACGCTTAGGTGTGAACCTAGGGTAAGTGTTTTTAAAAACATGTTCAGACAGTTAGCTTTTCAAGTAGCCAATACGTTTCCTAATTTTTGGACTTTGTTTTTGGAAATCCTGTATTGCACAGTTAACTTTTTATTAAATTTTTTTTATTAAGGTTTAATAGCATTTTACATTGGGATAGATTACAACATTTTGCCATATAAAAAACTGTTCTCTTTTAAAAGAAACGACTGCTAGAACTTAGACAGTATAATGGCAAACTTTATAAGCACTACATGAGACCACACTTCATTTCTTTAAAAAAAAATATATTTAATTCTACATAGATGTAAAACAATTTACAGTGCATTGAAACATGTCATACATTTAAAAGCAAGGGGGATTGAAAAGAAGTTACACAGCCTCCTCTTTTCAGTTACTTATGTAACCACATAAACTGTGTTTATAGCTTGTCCAGCTTCAACGGTCAACGCTTTAGAGAGTAGGTTGTGTATCTTCTGGGGGACCTCTTTTCAATCCTTCTTGTTTTTAAATGTATGAAATGTTTCAATGCACTCTAAATTATTTTACATCTATGTAGAATAAAATATATACTATTTCATTAAATAAAGTGTGGTCTCATGTAGTGCCTATAAAGTCCGCCATTATACTGTCTAGGTTCTAGCAGTCGTTTCTTTTACTAATCTTAATTGGATGTGGCACATTGAAAGCTGCTAATATTCTGTTCTTATCTTTGCTTATAGAGTTTACGAAAAATCTGGCCACAGTTCTCATATGTAGGCCCACATCCAGAAGATGTTCCTGGACACCAAAGCTTTGGCCAAGATCCTGATGGCCATAAAGACTATGTTTTCAGTCACCTTCCATTGCACTCACAACAACAGATACGAGCACCTTTACCTATGATCCCAATAGGCGGGATTCAAATAATTAATTCTAATTCTGCAATCCAAGCCAGTCCTCAGCCTTCTACAACTACACCCTTGCACCTGAGAAGTTCAGATGAGAAGACTATTTCTATGTCCTGTATCCCACTGCACCTTGATAAACATTCTTCTCCTGATATTCCTCCAGGAGAAGCTGGAGCTTCCCCTACTCTCTTACCTTCACCGGGGCAAAGCCCGTCAGATGAAAGTTCACAGCCTACTGAGAGGGAGCAGGAGGAAAATATACGTACTTGCACAAAAGCCATTGCTTGCCTGAGGATTGCTGCAGAGGAAGGTCAACCGCTGAAGCGGGACCAACTGTCTCGTCCTCCTGAGCCCAATCAAAAAACTTTAGAAAGTGCACAGTTTGGCATTAGGCACTTTAGTGGACTTGAAGGGGGCATGTCTCTTGCATGCTCCTCAGCCACCCCAGTTGACTTGCACGGAGAAAAAGACAGTTTTGGTACATCACAGTCTACGCAAGCTCATTCCAAATTCTATAGTAAGACCATGGACTTGACAAAATTAGGATTCCATGGCAGGAAAGAAGAGCCATCAAGCACACAGGATGTAAAGAACTCTTCCCCTGAATCCAATAACCTGCAATGATTTGAATGGGCATGTAGACTATATTACAGAACACCATTTTTTTTTTCTTGTACAAAACATAGCATGTCTGATGTGCGTTACAGTTATTGTTCTTGGAAGTACTTTTATTATATGAAAACATTATTTATATATATATATATATATATATATATATATATATATATATACACACACACATGTATATACTGTATCTCTACAAATAAGTCATCATGAGCCTGACCAAAATGAAACTTTAAACTCTTGTATTGGGTCTGGTACTTTTAACTGTACAGATGTTTGTGCCTTTTTCTTTACTTTGCTTATATTCTTATAAGCATTTTAGCAGTACCCTGTATATATTTTAGAATTTGTGTATCTGCTTTGTAATAATTGTAATTTTCATTATTTTTTGGACACTTTGGTCTAAATGTACAAAGTTAAAAATAGCATCAATATATATGTGAGGTTGCACTAAAACATATTTTTATATGATTGAAATTCAACAGCTTTTATGTACAGCTCCAATCCTGTAATACTAATATTTATTTACTTTGTTTCATAAATTGTAAATTTTTTTTCTTATTGTTGTGAAATGCTTTTTTCTATGTGAAGCATGGGGTTTACTGTTGCGTAATTAGAACAAAAAAATGTATAGTGTAAGCAAGATATTTAAACTGAAATATTATCTTATTATGCACTTATGCATTGTAAACATCAATGAAAAAATAATGACAGTTATATCAGTCAGTTCTTTACTCATGTACTTTTTTCGTCCCTTGTTTGCTAAATTGACAATAACTTAAGTGCTGATTGTGATTTTAAAATGATAGTAATGTAAAAGCATTAAAAGTACAGCCATGTGCTTATTGTGAGGTTTTCTTTCTCCCAATGCTGTATGGCACAGTTATAAGTATATCACAAGTATATGGTCTTATGTGAACATGTTGCTTGATATTCTCCAGTCATACATATGGGAAACATTCCACCCCATGTATATGTACAAGTGCATCACTGGTACAGTTTATTTGTAAATCTCAGTTGGACAGGTCACCAAATACATTTTCTGGAGTGTCTATAAAAAAAAAAAAACAGAAAAAAAAAAAAATTAAGGTGACAAAGCACATCTGACTGTGTGGAACTGGGTTATTGTGCTATTTAGTGGATTATAAATCTGTGAAACCAAGTTTGTATATTGAATTACAAAACATTAAGGAGTGTTCTTTAAAAAAGAAATAAATATACAGTTACATGCATCAGTTGTGTTGCACATTTCTCATGTCATGCTGTGAGTGGAAAAGACTGTAAGTTGTTCATCAATTTTTCGTTGTTTTTTTTTTTTGTAACATATCATCCTTCAACATATCCTAACATTGTCACCCACATTTGTTCAGTTGTATTTCCTTCTACTGTTGGGTGGGGGCGAATATGTTGAGCAGAGATAAACTAATGCTTGTCATGGGGTATTAAAATGGCAGCCAGATCCAGGGTCTGGGCCATACAATCAAACTAAATACAATTTAAATCAGTAGACCACAAAAAATATCTCAGGAGGCAAACCACTAATAAACCAGGTAGGCTTAAAATGCCACATGGTGTCAAATGTACTCCTAAGCATTGTGACTGCCATGCAGGTCCTGTGAGTATATCATGTTGAGGCAACAGTCTAGAAGAACCAAAAACTTGATGCCTATTTAAACCCCCAAACAAAACTATATACTTACTATATACAGCCAACTATATACTATACTATATACAGTGATGTGAAAAAGGCAGTTAACCCTGGGAAATTTTAAACTTTTTAAAAAATATATAAACAGGCAAATATTAGATTTTAATTAAAACAGTGCCTACAATTAAAGTTGATTTACATGAACAATGTCACATGGAAAAAGTAAAAATCCCTACATTTACCAGCGCCTCCAACCCATGATATTTGTATCAGAACTTGCAGATTAGGTGTGATGATTAGAACCTCCTTGGGACCTATACAAGTGGAACCTGTCTTATTTATCCTCAGATAATGGGGTCCGGTGTTCTCTTTGCTATTTACTTGTGTGGTGTCAACATGATAAAAGCTCTCTTAGATTTTCAGAAAGAAGGTTATGGATGTCTATGAGTCTGGCAAATGATTTAAAAAGGTCACCAAGTTGTTTGAAATCAATCATACCACTGGGAAAATAATTTACAATGGCCTAGATTTCAAAAGACTGTTAATTTATCTAAGACTTGTTTGGTCCTATTATAGTCAACCTAACAGCTCACAGTTTGATTTTGAAAGAAGTCTTCAAAATCCCAAACATATATTTGCAGGATCTGCTAGTGGCTCTTGTAACAGTTGGTGTCAAAGTGCATGCATCTGCAGCCTGAAAGAGATTGCACTAATTTAACCTGTGTGGGAGGTGTTCGGAAAAATCATCTGCTTTCCACAAAAGAAAACATTAGAGTAAGACTACAGTCTGCCATTGAATATATAAGTAAAAACCAAGACTTGTAGAGCAATGTGATGTGGACCAATTAATCAAATCCAGTATTATTTTGCTACAGTGATAGTATACATGTTTGGGGCAAACCAAATATAGAATTTCAGGAGAAGAACCTCTTACAAACTGTGAAGCATGGTGGTGGAAATCATATAGTTTAGAGTTATTTTGCTGCTTCAGAAAATGGACAGTTTGCTGTAATTTGGTTCTACTATTAATTCTGCATCCTATTCTTTATGAGAATGTGAATCCACCTGTCCAAACGTCGAAGTTGTACTGGAAATGGATCCTTTAACACAATAATGATCTGAAGGATACTAGCAAATCCACCAGGGAGTGGCTTGAAAAGAAGTAATGGAGGGTTATGAATGTATAAATTTAAAAGTTGTGGGGGGGGTATTTGAAATGGGCAGTTCAGGCAAGAGAACCTACAAATATCTTGCAGCTGAAAGAATCATGTCGGAGAATGGAAAATGCCTACATTAAGTAATTTTTGCTAAAGGGCGGTAAACATGATTTTGAGCCCAAGTGTATACTTAGTTTCTTCACAGTACACCATTACCTTAATGTAATATACATTTTTTGGGAGATAGACAGGACTTGGTAGCAGATTCAAATCCATGAACTCATGGCACACTTTCCTTGAGTTCATGGATTTAAATCTGATACCAACTTAAAGCCCTGTCTATCTCCCAAAAAATGTATATTACATTAAGGTAGGCTACAAACACTAAAGGGCACGTTTCTGGAACCAAGACTGGAAAAAAACCCTTCAGGGACTCAAGGGGTTTATGAAGAAAAAGGCTCAGGGACTAAAGTGTTTGCATTCAAGAGGACTATACATAGGTAAATCTGTAAAGATTTCTTGACTGATCCTTCTCCATTGTCAGCTTTAAACATATGTCCTGCATTGGCATACTGTAATTGTGTTTCCACAATGTGAGTCACTGGTTAGAAGCACTGTATTTTGGCATATGTAGTAGCACTAAGTTGATAATGAAAAAATATCACAACTTGACTGTAGTGCATTTAAAGAGGATCTGTCACAAAACACCTATAGCATTTGGTTTTGATGGAGGCATCAAGCTCATATTTATTGTGTCTCATACTAGTCCTGATGCAGTAAAAGGAAACCTCTTTACTGAATCACTATCCTGGAATGTGGTGTGTGTTCATGGGATAGAGAATAGCTTCTGTCAAATCCCTGGGTGGGAGTTCATTCATCTCAGCAGATAACGAACTCTCTACACTGAGCTCCCTGTGCGCAGCTCAGTGTACAGCGTGAACAGGTAGGTGAAAACACTTTAATGCAAAAGAAATGTATTTACTAAAACTGGAGAGTGCACAATCAGACTCACTTCTGCATAGAAACCAATCAGCTTCCAGGTTTTATTGCCAAAGCTTAATTGAACAAGCTGAGGTTAGAACAGGGGTGGGCAAACTTTTTGACTTGAGGGTCGCAATGGGTTCATATATTGGACCCGGGGGCCGGACCAAGAGTAAATGAATGATGTGTATGTGTCATCCATAGTAAGTATAGTAATATTCCCCCATAGTAAGCATAGTAATTAATCCCCCATATAGTAATTCATCCCCCATAGTAATTCATCCCCCATATAGTAATTCATCCCCCATATAGTAATTCATCCCCCATAGTAATTCATCCCCTATAGTAATTCATCCCCCATAGTAATTCATCCCCCATATAGTAATTCATCCCCCATAGTAATTCATCCCCTATAGTAATTCATCCCCGATAGTAATTCATCCCCCATATAGTAATTCATCCCCCGTAGTAATTCATCCCCCGTAGTAATTCATCCCCCATAGTAATTCATCCCCCCCATATAGTAATTCATCCCCCCTATAGTAATTCATCCCCCATAGTAATTCATCCCCCATATAGTAATTCATCCCCCATAGTAATTCATCCCCCATATAGTAATTCATCCCCCATATAGTAATTCATCCCCCATAGTAATTCATCCCCCATATAGTAATTCATCCCCCATAGTAATTCTTTCCCCATATAGTAATTCATCCCCCCTATAGTAATTCATTCCCCATATTAATTCATCCCCCATATTAAGTCCCCAAGTCCCCCCTGTGTCAATTCACTTACCTTTGCTCCGCGCGTTCCTCTCGCCGTATTCCCGGCACATGCGCAGATACGTCGAGGGGGACAGATTTTCATGCTACACCGGTCTTCACGGCGGACTGTGAGAGGAGCCTAGCGGGAGCCTAGCTCCGCGGGCCGGATTAAAAGGTCCGCCGGGCCGTATACGGCCCGCAGGCCGTAGTTTGCCCATTGCTGGGTTAGAAGCTGATTGGTTTCTATGCAGAAGTTATAATGATTGTGCATTCTCCAGCTTTAGTTCATAAAGTTCATGTGCAGAAACTTTTCTTTGCATTAATATTCCACTTTATATAGAAACCTCGCTACTTACAGCATAGGTAAAATATTTGGGGCCTGAACTATCCCTTGTATAGATAGTCACCACTAAGGTTCCCTCCCAATCTTATTCCATTCTACCTTTATTA